TCAAAGGCTTTTGCGTAGTCAATGAAGCAGAAGTAGATGCTTTTCTGGAACTCTCTGGCTTTCTCCATAATCCAGTGCATGTTAGCAATTTGGTCTCTAGTTCCTCTGCCCCTTTAAAATCCAGCTTGTATTTCAGTCCGCAAACTGTTGAAGCCTACGTTGTAGGATTTTGAGCATGAGCTTCCTAGCATGTGAAATGAGTACAATTGTATGGTAGTTGGAGGATTCTTTGGCACTGCCTTTATTTGGTATTGGGATGTAGATCTTTTCCTATCCTCTGGCCACTTGCTGACATATTGAGTGTAGCACCTTAACAGCGCCATCTTTTAAGATTTTAAATAGTTCACCTGGAATGCCATCACCTGCACTGGCCTTGTTGTTAGCTGTGCTTTCTAAGGCCCACTTGACTTCACTCTCCAGGATGTTTGGCTCAAGGTCAGCAACCACACTATCTGGGTTGTCCGGGTGCTGAATGTGTTGCTCTCAAGCTAACAGCATATGGGCCAAGGTTTGACAAATTATCAGCATGCCTACAACATCAAAAATCACATTGTGCAATAGGATGCCAATTTGGATATCCCTTATCAAAAATATGTGGATATAAGTATTTTAAAAGTTTGTATAAATTACCTGGCTTGTATTACTTTAATATTTGTTTCCATTTACTAGAGTTAATCGTTATTTTTCAACAAAAAAGTGTTTGTATCGTTGAAAGTTCTGTTATGTTTTTCTTTGAAGACAAAAGGTGATGATTAGTTCAGACAACTGTATAAGTTATTTTTTTCTAAACTAAAACATCAGAATTCAGATTTAATTGCAGTGTTGACACTTCGAAAGAAACAATTTGGTTTTGTGTCGCACTCAAACTCAAAAAGGTTCGCCATCACTGCAATAGACTGTTCTTGTGCTGTTCCTGCCAGATGATTAAAAGAGGAGAGATTTCTAACATGGCATAAAAAGAGAGTCTAACTCCTTTTCTCAGAACTTGGAGTCATTCTCTTCTTAGAGGTGATACTGGTGACCAAGTTTCTGCCTGTAGGAATCTGTAAAGCGACATCAAGAGGCTGAGGCAAGGTTTCAAGGGCTTTAGAGTTCACAGTCTTTGCTGCTCTGGTAAAAGGTAAAGGTTCCCCTTAACAATTTTTTGTCCAGTCGTGTTCGACTCATCCCTGTTTCCAAGCCATAGAGCCAGTGTTTGTCCAAAGACAATCTTCTGTGGTCACATGGCCAGTGCGACTTAGACACGAAACGCTGTTACCTTCCCACCGAGGTGGTCCCTATTTATCTACTCTCATTCTGCATGCTTTCGAACCACTAGGTTGGCGGGAGCTGGGACAAGCAACGGGAGCTCACTCCGTCGCGTGGATTCGATCTTACGACTGCTTGGTCTTCTGACCCTGCAGCACAGGCTTCTGCGGTTTAGCCCACAGCGCCACCACGTCCCTGCTGCTCTGGTACAAGACCATTTTATGCAGGACAATTTGCTTCTCTTTTGGAAAAGGGGCTTTCTGCAGTCTCCTTTTGGGAAAGAGAAATCTGGAACCGAATAGAAGAATAGTTCCTGCAAAAGAGCTGTTTGATCCGAGCAAGAGAGCTGTGACAGCAGGGCAGTGTGAAAAGCTTCAAAGATTTGCTAAATCTGGCTATTCACATTTCAGCCAAGCAGTGTGAGAAGTGCCAGGATCTCCACCGGCCATGTGCCATTAACTGGCACTGCCTGATCCTACTCACCTCCATTCTGGCCAAGGTCTGTGTATGCAAGGGGTGATCCTTAAGTAACTTTCCAAAGGCCTCCCTCTTAGTGGCGTAGTCCCGTGCCATGTGGATCATTCTGGGGTTGGAAGAAAACCCAGCCCATCAGGATCAGAATTGCTTACATGTTAGATATAGTGGAAATATCTTCCCAGTCACTGCATTTTCCATGACACTCCCAGAATAACAATATTGAAATTTTTTTAATGTCATGTCTGTTATTTGCTCAAACTAGATAAAGCCAATTCACAATCAGTTATATTTTCAAGGACTGGATATGTTACCGGAGATAAAAAAATAGCAAGAAAAGCAACCACACGATACAAGCCTGGATAACCAACCAAAGAACCCATCAGGCAAAAAATCCTGCAGCACCTTTTAAATTAACAGATCTTAGCGTGAAATTTGGCTTACAGTTTACTTCTTCAGATGCATCAGATATGGATCCACAGATTTTTTAAAAAATAAATCTAGTGGTTTTAAACACTGCCACGAGACTTTTCTTTTTCTCCTCCGTCATTCTGAAGCAAGCAATGTCTTTGAATCCAGGGTGCATTCATAAATCTTTTTTCATTGTCAACTGGTTTGCTTAAATCTGCCTTTGGATCGCGTTAAGTCCAATGACTACGATGATCTCCAGGGGCCTGGGACTCACCTTTTCATACCTGCAACTGCACCTATGGCATTATGGATCCTTGCGATCGTCAACATGTGGGCAATGGTAGCCACACCCCGGCCTTCTGCAGAGATCTAGAAGCAGTCAAGAGTCAGTCGGAAGTTCGTAATATGGGTTGAATTGTTCCAGGGTAAAAGCGAAGCACTTTTGATACCTCTCTTCTACCTCCTGAGGCTGACATGTCTGTAATAATGCTCTTCTTGGCTATATAATGTCTGAACAAAGCAGTGGAAACTTTGCACAAGAAAAAAGTGATTCCAGACTGTGGCAATTTCCCCTGAAGTCCCAATTCCCCCCAGGCTTTCATGAGGTTCTCGCTCTTTCTTCCACCAGGTATTACTGCTTTAATACCATTTAATCATGGAGATGTGTGCTTTTAAAACTTAAGTCATTTATTAGATCAGGGAAGTTAATATATGATTTATATTCAATAGGTAAATCACAGGTTGCTAATCACTAGTATTTGAATCAAAACTGCTATAACTTTCAACCTCTTTTAATTCTCCATTCCATTCATTGTTCTTACAGATCTCTAACTCACTCTTAGTTCACTTTTAAGTTTCACACACTCTCTACCAGAATCTCTCTCAGCCTTTATATACAGCTCCCTCCCCCCTTGGCTCTGCCTTCTGTCCACTCATTGGCTCCTGCTTCACTGTTCTGCTGTGACTGACAGGTGAGGGCAGGGCTGTTCGCTACACAGACATGAGTTTTATGCAACATAAAAACAGGAGTTTGTTTACTTCTGGATTGTTTTTCTCTGAAACTTTCAAATAAACTATGTGCTTATTTTTTAAAATGTGGTCCTTTGGAAAGGACATACCCTGTTTCCCCTAAAATAAGACCATACCTGAAAATAAGACCTAGTATGATTTTGGTAAAATTCTCTGAGATATTTAGGGGCAAAACAATGATCTGCTCCTCCAGGTAACCAGAAGGTCCCGAGATGCCTGCTGCCTCCTCAGACGGAAGGTAGAAGTACCAATGTCAGGTTGTGTTGCTCCAGGAAGGTTCCATTCCTTCCCAACTTTCATAGAGCCCAGTTCCCCTGCTTGGGGCTCTTTCTTTGCCTGTCCCATGGAGCTGGGGAGTAGAGATGTCACCTTGGGGGGGCCCAATGGCCCTTTGTTTTGCTTACCCGCAGTGCTTTGGCTCCATCTAGAAACAGTTCAGCGGTTGGTAGTTGCCTTGTGCCCAACTTGTCTTTAAGACGATGGATCTCGATCTTATTCAGTTTCTCTTCCGCATCACGCACTTTCAGGTAGAAAAGAGACAGGCCTTTGGAACCCTGCAACCAAAAAGACGCCCTCAAGGAAACAGAAAATGGACGAGTAAAACTGTTACAAGGACCAGATAAAAAAGGTTCCCGCTTCCCCTTTTTCCATGCCTGTTCCCAATCTGACCTGTTCCACCTGCCCGTCAGCAGCCATGATTCGCGCCAGTGTCAGAGCTACATCGGAATCCGTGGCTGAGGTGAACCACTTCAAACCATGGAGACTATAGGTACCATCCGGGAGCGGCTGGGCCACCGTTTCTGTGCCGTTGCCTGCAGGAAAGAGCACAAGACTTTGGCAGTGATGGCTTTTCCTTCCCAAGGTAGCAGAACTCTCTCCCCAAGCTGAGGAAAAAAGGCGATGAGGCAAACGGGGCTATAAAGGCAGAAGGAGCAAACCCTGGAGCAGTCGGACGGGCAGATTTTTTACAATAGAATAACATTTAAAAGTTAAAACAACAACAACAAAACCCCTAAAAATAAAGAAGACCAAAAAGGTTAAAGACTAACTGTTATATGTTAATGTGAGCTTTCATGGACAAGTCCACTTCCTCAAACATATCTGTTTTTGCCTTCTTTATTTTTTTAAATTTTTCTTTTCTTTTGGTCTGGTATGCCAGCTACCTCCTCTAAATCTGACAGTAGTAAAAACTGAGAAATGCTGGATGAGAGAAACAGACAAGACTACAACCTTAGATACCAACAAAATAGAGAATGGCGTAAGTAACCAAAATCATGCCTCAGTGCTTTGGCCATTTTATATTTTGGAAAGACCTGAAAGGCAAAGGCTCCGCAACTCCCCCCCTCCTTTGGCAGACTTACCAACATCGGAGCCCCCCCTGCGTTCAGTCATCCATTGGCCAGAGGTCCAGAATTTTCTGGGGTCACGAGATGTCAGTCGCACATAGACGTCCTCCAGCAGCTTAGGGACTCCCAAGGACTATCAGAGTGCAGAGAATAGACAAGAGAACAAAGAGAGATTTCCTTAAAAGCAGGAGCATCTCCAAAGGAACAGTAGTCAAAGCCAGGATGGGGTGGCCGCTCTTAAGGGCTGTGGGATGTAGCAGGACGCAAACCGCAAAAGGAACTGGGATGGTGTGAGCCAGCTACAGCCGGCTGGGAGGAAGGAGCTAAGTGCCAGTATGGGCAGAACGGTTGTTGGCCGTGAAGGAAACACCTGAGGCAGATGAGGGTGGAGGCCCTAAACCCACCCCCAGAGAAACAGCTGTTGCTGAGGTAAATATAGAGGCAAGTGAGCAAGGTGGGGAGGAGGATGCCTGGGAGTTTTGTCACCTTTGGAGAAGAGAGAAAATGATCTGCCGGGGGAAATGCTGAAAGGATGTTCTAAGAGGCTGGTATCTCCAGAGGATGGTCAGCTCAACTGAAGGCAAGTTGAAAGCTGAAGGAAAGAAGCTCCTGGGGGCAGCTGGTGCTGCACAGCCTCCTCTGTTTTCTGGATACTGTGCTGGGGGTTGTGGCTTGCAAAGACTGTTTAACAGCCAGGACTTTTCAGCCAGGATGAGCTGCCAGGGGAGTGGAGTGACTCCCTCAGAGCTGAGGGGGGGGGGAAGGGACAGAATAGTCCCTCAGCCCTGGAAGGACTGGAAGGATAGAAAGCTACCAAGTCCAGCCTTGCTGCTTGGGGCTAGAGGCCCTATCCTTCAAAGGGCTTCAGAGACACTATTTTTATTTCCTTTCCTTTCCTTTGTATGCTGAGTCCAATAAAGCTTAACTGCACTGCCTAGCTGAGGTCAGTCCATGCATGTGTATTAATTCGCTGTCCTCTAAGCACAGAACTATTGTTGTTAAATTCTTCTCATTTTGCTTTGTCTGTTCCTCATTCAGGACAGTGGGGAGACTGAAAATAATCTTTCACAAATTCTCTCTTCTCAGCAGCATTTCGGCTTTAACTGACCCAGTCAGAAAGTTCTGTTCATTTAGCTTTGTAAGAGGGAATCCTCCCATTCCTGCTGCCCCAACTGACTGCATTTTACTGCCTTTTTATCTCTGTCTTCCATTCTTTATCCCCCTTGGGCTCTGATTAGCAGGATGCTCACCTTTACTGGACTTTCTCCACTTCTGGATTGGTTCCTCTGGCCTCTGTGGTATCCTCTGGCAATCACCAGCTTCTCTGGTGCAAGGCAGACGTTTCTGGGTGCATAACCCCTTGTTGGTGTAAGCCAATCAATATGGACATTGCATCATCTCAGACTGCATGATTTAGCATTTTGCACACCTGTCAAGTATGGCTGCTGATTATCATGGACCTTGTTCTGCCTCAGTATAGAAATTATCCTTGACCAAGCAAAGGAGACCAGCATGAAGCAACACAATTTTATTGAAGCTGAGAGATACACGCTACTGGTTTTGCTCTAAAGTTGAATGAAAAGCCCCCAACAGAGGCAACAGCAGACTTGTATACCTTATCAGTTTTGTATGCTAAAGAGCAAGAGCAGTGGCTTGGGTAGCATCGGGTGAGGCCTGGGCAACAGGTTTAGATGAGTTTCCAGGACAGTACTGGCCATCCCTGATAAGAACCCGGCTGGAAGCCCCCTTTCAAGGTTGCCGCAATACCCTCCTGTCTCCATTTACAATTTACACAAGCTAAGAAATATGCATGCCTAACACAAACACATGGACACAAAAAGAATCTAAAGTTACACACAAAATGTTGGCCATTTTTAAGGCCAGCACCAAGGTTCTCCACAGTAGCTTGATTTACTGAGTCAGAGGAAACTTTCCTGCAGTTTTGATGTCTCTCAGTGCCGTGGGGGGCATTTTATAGCCAAACGAATTGATGAATCAAAATCAATAAAAATTAATTGATTTCTGTTTGTTGGCAACATTGATTTATACAAATAAAAATGGATGAATTAGTGACTTTTGAATGAATTTGGTGATTTTTTAAAAATTCGTGCTATCCCTAATTAATGCCCATTATTTCAGTACTCTCTTTAAAGATCATTGACCATTCCTTCTTTCTTGTTTGACAAGTCCATCACAAAGGTAAATATGTCCCCTTTTCTTCTTTTATCTCTCCAGCATAAAGATGATACAGTTTTATTTAATGAATTTAGTTTCACCAGTGTTAATTACCGTGATTTTTTAAAAATTCGTGCTATCCCTAATTAATGCCCATTATTTCAGTACTCTCTTTAAAGATCATTGACCATTCCTTCTTTCTTGTTTGACAAGTCCATCACAAAGGTAAATATGTCCCCTTTTCTTCTTTTATCTCTCCAGCATAAAGATGATACAGTTTTATTTAATGAATTTAGTTTCACCAGTGTTAATTACCATGTTCATACCACTTCATAACAATTTTCTTTAACCTTACAGATATACTTCTCATTATTCTTTAATTACACATTTTATTCCAGTCTTCTCCTTTAACGTCTTTAGCTGAATCTCCTTGCCACATTTCTTTTAAAGCTGTTGTTTATATTTTGCATGTATTCATCTCATGTTTAACACTGATGGTCTCCTTCCTATTTTTACTAAGTTCTGTTTTCTTTCTTTTCTCAACAATTTCCTCAAATTTCATCATTGGTCTACCCTCTCCTTCCTTTGTTTTTGTGATGAGATGGGTTTTTGAGTTAAAATCTTTTAAGGCATATGGGTTTTCTAATTATGAAATGAGCCAGAGAGGTTCCATCTTGTTTCTTTGTATAAAGTATCTTTGCTATGCTGACAAGTTGTTTTCTAGGCGAGCTGAGAGAATGTTATTCTGAGAGCCTGAGAACGGACTCTGTGTGATTAGATAGATGGGAATTGTTGTGACTCTTTGATAAACCACCGTAACCCAAATAACATCTGGTGCGTATGAGAAAGAAGTCATGTGGTGCGACAGGACTGTTTGCATAGTAACGAACTCTGATTGGATGACATCGGGGAAGGTGCATTAAGCCCTTGC